AGCACAGATCTTATACAAAAAATTCTGACATTTCTCAGAGTGCCAGTTCCTTCTATTATTTTCCAGCCAACGGCACACTTTCTTATGTCCAGAAAATACATTAATATTAGTGATTTATTGCTGAATTCTGGTGAGAAGAAAATGATTAATCTCTAACATAAATTATTTCAAGGATGCTGTTATTGTTTTCTTTATTACTTTCAGAGACACAGCTGTTACAGTTAATGGTCCTTTCCTTGATCTATATTTCTATTTTGAGAAAGGATATCACATCTTTTCTCCTCAACATTTTTGTTCAGTTTCTTTGCATTCTAGTTGCATTCAAATGGTCAGCTTCAGGAGTATGAGCTTATGCAGCTGAAGTTCTGGAAGAAACTGCTGACAGAGTACCAGAACCACCACACATCTGAGATACACAGACTGTCTGGGTGGCAAGGAGAGTAGAAAATAATAGTGTCTGCAGTTCATCACCTGTCTATAGATGAGAGTTACCTGTCCTGTAGTAATTAAGTTCTTGCCTTCTCATTTGAATATTGTGCATTATTTTTAAAGTAGTTCAATGCTTCTGTTTTATAGAATAGTACCAATATGTTTGTGCCTAATGAAACTGACAAAACCTGCAACTTCAGAATAAAGCAAAAGGTCATATTTTCCCCAAAAGTTTTCAAATGCTTCAGAACCAAAGAAAAAATAAAGTAGTCTCATTCTCTTTCAAAATAATGATCCATGGAAAAAATCTTACATGTTGCACTGCTGACAAGTTTATGTTCCCTTAGCATTGAGGAAACATCCTTGACGGTCTCTCAAATGGCTCTCATACCAAATCTCACATTAAAGAGAATTTTCTGTTTTTGCAGATTTGGAAATTGGATTTGCATTGGAAAATATCTTACAGGAAGACAGAAAATGCAAAGCAATAAAACAATCTTACAGTAATAAACTAATTAACCACATGCTAATACAGACATGTAATGAATTACTGGAGTTGCTGAGGTTTTCGTGTGGTGATCACTATGTGCCATTGGATATCTTTTGCTGATAATATGATGAAATGATTCCTCTTCATGCTAGAAAACATCTGAGAAACTGCATTGCTCTCTATCACGGCAGCAGCAGAGGAAAAATCTAGCTGAGAAATGCTTTTTGTCATAAAAGTGCTAGCATAGTGTGTTCATATAAACAGTATTCCAATGCTTAATGATAATTTTAGTTTGCCCAGAGGTCCAACTTCTTTGACTAGACAGTAAGTATAGAAGTTCTCATGTCCAGGAAAGTTTTAAACCTCTAATAATATATGAGGGTAGATGCATGAATTACATAAGTATATTTACGACACATCTATTTACACAGAAGTTAACATGACTAGTTTGATTTCTCTTGACCTTGAGAATAATCCACATGTTTCTCTAATTTAACAAAGAAATTTATACTGGATTAGTATCAATCTTATTATTTCTCACTTTTCATGCTCTTCCATCACAGCCTCTCTCTACTTCCACCGCATTTGCACATCTATGGGCTTAGATAACAGCGTAGCAAAAACATCGACCTCTTCAACTAACTGTATGACAAATGCAACACACATTGTTTCCTGAGTTTTCAGCCATGAGCACAGTTACAAGGTAATTGCACTAAACATAATTAATTTTTGATTAATTTAGATTTTTGTACTCTGCTATATGCCTTAAACAAACTAGGAATTATATAAAAGCACACAGCTGTTCATATAAAGGGTATGGTAGGTAGTCCTCACCACGGAGCTGAATTTGCACACTCCTCAAATTTTACTCCAAGAGTCAAAAAATCTGTTTCTATGTGCTTGCAAATGCCTATGTTACAAGAGAGAAGAAAAAAAAAATGGAGTTCCAAGAATTCCCATTTTTTTTTGTGGGTAAGTTTGAGTTCGTGTACAGGTGTCAAATTTGACATTTAGGACAGGAGAAAGAAGAGGAAAGGATTCTAAGTAATTGCTTGCAGCTTTACAGGGGAGTGAAATTTTGTGTCTACTGCACATATGACGATTGTTTATGAGAGGTACAGTACTGCTTAAAATTCTGTTTAACTGTGGAGCATTCTAAAATTGAAGATATATACAGCTTTTTAAATTGCTCATTTTTCTTTCTCTGATTGCTTTTTAATATCTGGGAAAGATTGAAGGACTCTGATCAAAATTTCAGGACACGTGAATGTACTCTATTCACCCCCTGAAAGCTGAAAGAAGATTTACTATTTAAATTTTTAGATTAGCTCAGAATGTGTAAATCCTTTTCTACTGTCATTTATCAGCAAAAAGTATTAGTATTCAGCACACTGGGGAAAATGCACTGGTTTCATCTGCAAACAGAACAGGCAAAAGCTATCAAGTTCCAATTCAAGTGTACATGACCTAGGATTTGGTCTCAACTTTTAAATTCTCAATTTAAGCAAAAACCAAAGAACAAAATTTATAAAGAGAAATCACTTTGATGTTCTTCTGGAAATCTTTCATCCATTGTCTGAAAGCTAACTTATTCTTTTCAGCGGACAAAGAATAGTTTGAAAATACTTACATAGTAAATTCAGTTTTCAAAGCCAGTTACAATGAAATATTTGCACAGAATTGCTTATGATCTGGGAAATACCAAGTCAAGAATAATTACACAATGATAATGTGCAATTAAATTAACCAATCATAACAATTACTGTATATGAAAGCCACAGTAACAGGTTTTGAATGACATAAACTTTGCAGTAGTGTGATTTTAGTACATTCCTGTTTTATGCTGAATTTGGAATTTTGCTCCGCAAGATAATTATTTTCTCTCCTGGCAAAATCTGTGGTTTAACTTCCTGATTATTTATTATGATTAGCATCACTTGATCTATATGAATTCCATATTAATAAAGTAGTAATAACTTTTTGCTAGCATAGATTCTACCTTCTGTACCTATCAGTTAACAATAGAATCATTAAAAGGAATTAAAGTCTATATCTGACTCTATAACTCTGTATTCCTGATTAAAAAAAAAGATAAAAAGAAAGCTAAGTCATTCTTTAATATAAATGTAGATGCCCTTATACAACAGTCTTGTGAGCCATGTGTGCATTTTCTCTTTCTGATGTCAGATTGTTCTGTACTTGTTTTATACTTAGCCACCTTTTTTATTATGATGTATTATATTATTATTTATTAAGTTCATACATATGGATAAATAGATATTTCCAAATACATAGATACACATAACTACACATATATTACGCATTTTATATCAAGTGTGTAGGACTCTGAAGCATTCTACTTATAGTAAAAGAGGTAAAAAACTCAAATACAAGAAAAGAGTCTAGATGATTAGAGGTGAAATTCTTTCCTCAGTAGTTTAAGACAACAAAGTTGCACTGGGAACATCCGTATTAATAGTCAGTTCGTATTTTCTCTGTAAACGAGTTACACCTCACAGGTTGCATTAAAGGCTTCAATCCTTGTCTGTCATGAGTTAGTTCAGTTCCACTGAAGTCATAGGGATTAATTTACACTAGTCAAGAATTTGGAACATACTGTTATTTTTACTATAAACTATGAAAAAATGGAGCTAACTGATAACACAATGCGGGGAGTTTTCATCTTGAGTTGCCCTACCTTTATTCACCTTTTTTGCAAGGGAGTTGGGGTGGAGGGCACACTGTGATGGGAGACAATATTTATTAATGTGAGAGAAAATGAATTGAACTTGCTTCTCCTTATACGGTTTTGTTACAGAACAGATTTTCTATGAGGAGTATATGTTTGTTTTAAATAATGCACTGCCAAATTAATTGCAGGCTACTTGGTTTATAAAGTAATTCACTGAATATATCTTTAAAAGTTTAGGAAGGTGGTAAAGCAGTACCATTTGTGCAAATCATTCTCCACGGGAATAATATTTATAGATTTGATTTACCTGGCTTACCTCGCACCTAGCCCTTTAGACTTGAATGAGAGATGTGAAAAGATTGCAAGTGTGTTCTCCCTTACAAAAAAAAAAAACCAAACACAAAACCCCACAACCAAAAACTGCCAAACAAAAAGGAAAATTTTGGAAATGGAAAGGAAGTTCCTTTACAATAAAGGAAAATCATGTACCTGATGTCAGGTTGTGATGTCGTGGGGCTTCTTTTACTGGTGGGACTCCTAAAGAACAAAACATAGATGATAAATGAATTTCCAGGCCAATATATTTAAATAAATTTCAATAAGAAACATGCTAGTTTCTTGGAATTAACTCATAGATAGGAATCTCTATAAACCAGACTTTTTAAAGCGTGACTTTCCTAGTAAATTATTTAAACATAGAAATTTGATGTCTAGTAAAACCATAGAAGTAAACTGCTTCCAGACACTAATTTAGCAAGCTTGCACTAGTACAACTAACTAGCTGTTACCCTTCGAGGTTCCAGGACTTCAATATACAATGGTTACATGCAAGTCACTGCCTTTAACCAATGTAGAGAAGAGATTTATGTCTTCGACCACCAACTTAATAAATTAGTGTAACTTATTACTATTCATTATCTTCAGAGGTATAGCAGAAACCATTTCT